CCTTTCCTCCTTCTTCCTGTTGAGTGCCAGATTTGACCTCTGATCTCAGAGATCTCATTACAGTGAGGGCAAAATCAAAAGACATGTAACTCCTCGAGTCTTCAGTGGTGATCCCCCAGTGGGTGATTGGTAACTGCTTTGTTAACGGCTATAAGAAGCCTCGTTGTCAGTGTGCCTATGAGCTTGGCAGGTGCAGAGGTGAGACTTGCTGGCTTGTAACTCCCTCTGAGGTCCTCACTGTGCACGAGCCATGTGGACAATCGCACAGGCCTCCCGGTTTCATCCTTGGGACTTCGACATTTCTTAACCGTCCTTTTACAGATGGGGAAACTGAGACTTAGAAAGTAACTTTCACAGGATTCCAAGCTGGTATATGATGGAGTTGAGGTTTGAACTTAAATCAACACAATGGATTTAACTGTATATTAGTGCCTGACCCATAAAACTGAAGTCTTAGTGTCATAATGTAACACATAGAATTAATAATATCTATTATCTTAACCCTGGGCCATTGACTGACAAGTTATTTTAAAAAATCAACTTTTAAAACATATTTTTTGTTTGATTAAAGGAAGCAACCTGTTGCCCCTCCTTTCCGAAACACTCACCATCTTTATTATATTACCACTGAATTAGTATTTTAATGTAATATTTATAAGGAAACCCTTATTCAAAAGAGTAGTTACAATTAGTTCAAACACGTTAGCCAAAAGACAGCAATTAAAATTATTTTTGACAGGTCAGTCAGTCATTCTTTTTTTCCATAAATCTTGACAACAAAATTGGTCTTAGTTGCTCATTTTAAAGTGATTTTATCCTTTCAATTATGTTAAACTTCCAAAAAACATAAACACCCATATATACAAAGAAGCAGTGTGGTAGTACAGGTGACATCCATTTTTCATCCTTGAAGAAAAAGTTGTGAAAAATTAGCTTTTTAGCTGCTCTTCCATTCTAACGGGAAGCTAATTTGAAAGATTTATAAATCTAACTTATGTGGGCAATCTGTTTTTTTTTATTCAAAGTTAACATAAAGCGCCAAGTTGAGCTAAGATGGAAACAGACAACCCCAAAGAGAGATTACGTTGAATGTCTTCTCACATGCCATCGAGTTACAGAAAGTCATCACAGAGGTTTAAACTGGTCCATCTCCCTAGAAGGTAGAAAAAGTTAATTAAGTATGACATCATTTTTTTGGCTTACTTCTCCCCTTTCCCTCCATTCTCTGTCACCTCTTCTCTGATTACTCCTGCCCCTCATTGGTTACTTATTGGATATTTTATATTCTATTCTGACTTTGTTTCAGAGCTTTATTTAATCTCTTGACTGTGTTTAGGTTATAAGAGTTGAAGCTTCATTTTATTTTGCATCAGTTATTATTAAAAACAATTTCCATAAGAAGCACAGAGAGTTCAAGTGATGCCTCTAAAGCCACAGCTAAGTAGAGGAGCCAGGATTTGAACCCAGGGAGGCTGAACTCGGAGATTGTGTTCCTTTTCTGGAAGCTATGCTGCCTCACTGATTTTCATACTGTTAGTAAATAACAATCAGTACAATGTACCGAGCCTTCTAACTGTTCAAATGAATGTATATTAATCACCCCATATTAGACGCTCAGTCAACAACTTTGGGAAGTTAGTTTAACAATCACGTTTTACAAAGAAACAGGTGAGGGCAACTGACTTGGCCAAGACTGCCAAGCTGTCACTCATCCCAGGCCATGGCTTGGATTTTAAAGCACATTTTTATCTCTTGCCTCTTTCAAGGATTGTGCCAGACTCAGGAACCTCTCAAATATTTTCTGCCTGGATGAATGAATCTGCTCTGCTCACTTTCTGTAGAAGTTCAGTAAAGGTGGTTGAGGTAACTATGGCTCTGAGAAGTTAGGCAGCTTGTGCGGGTAATTCAGCTATTAAATAACTGCTAAGAGCCCACGTCTTTCTGTCTTTCCTCAGTGACCTACTGGGGGAGGAATGCTGACCTGCTCACTGAGAGGCAAACTGGCAACAAGAGAGGAATCCTCACCAGACTGAGTTTAACATGCACTGAAATATTTAGTAGTGAAGTTCCACAATGTCTACAAAATACTTTCCAATGGTTAAAAAAGAGAGAGTGAGCCAAAATTGAACAACTTGTATATCCAGGTGAAAAAGATCAGGTGTATATTGCAGTATTCTTCTGAAATTTATATAGATTTGAAGTTTTCCAAATAAAAAGATGAAGAAGGAAGGAAGGAAATAAGGGAAGAAGGAAAGGAGGAAGGGTGGGAGGGAATTTCAACAGGGTTCATTCACCATCTACTGTCTTTTGCCTATCAATGATTTATTCATTAAAATTTCAAAAATATGATATTTGAGTAAATGACACTCACTGAAAAGAGTCAATGTACTGACATTTATGGGTATGTGGTTATATTTATAGATAATCCTCAGATTTAGTAAACTACTATCTTGTATTCAAAGAGCAGTTGTATTTTCAATAAGTCTTGCAATAAAAATTTTCTACCTAACTATAAAGTGTGAAAGCAGGAAAATAAATAATATTGGTGTTTGAAATAAAATAGCTGATTCAGAAAGCAAGAATTCATTTAGGAGGAATCACAAGATTCAAGTGCTCAATATTCTCACTGCTATCATAAAAATATTTTTGATGAATAACTGGTAGTTTTCTCTCCAATTGTGTTTATTGACAAAAAAATTAAATACAACACAATAGAACTGAAAATTTATAGAAAAAAATCAATAGCCAGTAAAATTTACTTATAATATATGCATTTTACAGTAGATTTCTGGAACTTTTTGTTTACTTTTTTATATTTTAAAATATATAATGGTTATATATTAAATAATATAAAGTAGGAAGAAGAACAAAAATGAAAGCCTTCTTTCCCACAAACAACTATTATTTAGCAGTTTAGTTGGATTTCCTTTAGGTCTTTTTTATTTAAGGTATTGGTTTTTTCTTATTTACATACTTTTATATCCTGTATACATCTATTTTGTATTTTGCTCTTTTTAAATAACACTATTTCATAAACATTAGTGATAAGTTTTGATAAAATCCTTTCAAAGTAAGGGAAATAAAAACAATAAAAAAGAAACTCTGGGAGGATATATGAGAAATTAGGTAACATTCCCTGGGTGGAGAACTGGGGGAACTGGGGGAACAGAAGACAAGGGCAGGATGCAGCCTTCCCAATGGAATACCTCTCTATATAGCTGTATGTGTCACACACACACACACACACACACACACACACACACACAACTTTTGACTAACAGGCATATAATGCTTGCTAAATATTTAAAGAAAATTATTTGAATAATTTAAAATTAGGGAATTATTTTTACAATATTATGTTAAATAGATAGACGTGTATTTACTTTATTTACACAATTTCCAATTAGAGGACCATGTTGTTTATTCCCTTCCCACCTCCCCCCGACCCCTTACACAAATCTGAGTATTTAAATAGCTTTGTCTGATCTGGTTTGGTCATTAGTTGAAATAAATGCACTATCTTACTTCCCATAGGTTTATTTTTATTTTTATATCCTTGCTGATAACTTATAATCAATTTTGAGGCTAAACTTTTTGTACTTTTTCTTTCCCCCCACTTAAGGAATATTTCTCTCTTTTATATCAGATATCTCATCAAAATATAGTTGTTTATTTTTAATTGGTATGTTCTGTTCTTTTACAGAGAAAATAAAATATCTTGAAGCATGTTCTGCATACTACTTGGCAACTTTAGCCCACTCTGTAGCTCTAGTTAGGAAATGGGGAGAATGTTTCAGGCCAGGCTGTGATGCGCTACAGTGACACATGACCACTTCCCGGGGACTTTCACATGACATCACTGCATATTTCTCAATGCATACCCAGTCCTTTGCCTCCAGGACTGAGTGTGAAGCTAAAAATTTGGGTCAACTTGAGCCTGGAAATGTTAACATGCACAGAGGACAGAGTTTCTGGGTTCCAGCAACACAATGTCACTGTTCCCTGGGTTGACAGAGGGGGCTGCCAGACTGTCCAGCCTGGCTATGCTTTCTGTAACTGTGACCCTCTCCACCCTGTCATTCCACTAGCGCTGGAGGCCAGCCTTGGCTTCCCATCCTGAGGAGTAAGGACAAAGACCTCAACTTACCCTGCAGCAGCCACAACACCGGCAGTCTCCACACAGGGTCCCCAGGAGGCCGTTAACCACCTGGATGGTGCAGAGAAGCATCTGGAACACTGCTATGATGAGCAGGATGGAGAAGAGGGTCAGATTCCAGGACACCACGTTTTCGGGCTCCCTGCACTTGCTCCATAAGGCTTTGTCATTGAGGTAATCCCTGTCAGGGGCATGTTAAAGAAAGGAAACAGCTGTAAAATGTAGGCAATACCTAGACTAGAAAGTCACAATAATAATTTTTCTTTTGAAATACTTTCATCCAAAAACATAAGTGCCATAAGAAAAATAGCCAATAATATCAATACTTTTACAACAATACCTAACATGTCTATAGACTATATACTATGTGTAAGATCCTGTTCCAAACATTTTAAACTATTAACTATTTTATTTCTTTTTAAAAAATTTTAAAAATATGTTTTTTATTGATTTCAGAGATGAAGGGAAAAGGAGAGAGAGAAGGAAACATCAATGATGAGAGAGAATCATTGATTGGTTGCCTCCTACACAGCCCACACTGGGGATTGAGCCCGCAACACAGGCATGTACCCTGACTGGGAAACGAACCGTGACCTCCTGATTTATAGGTCAATGATCAACAACTGAGCTACCCATAACTATTTTATTTCTTATAGAAGCCTTATGCTTCTTTTATTTTATTTCACAAATAAAGACATTGAGGCACAGAGAGGTTAAGTGAGTTCCCATAGGTCATAGAGCTCAGTGACAGAGTGACTTTGTGAGCTGACTGAGAGGATGGGTAAACTCAGTATCTACCGGGGAGCCAGGAAAATGAAGACACTCCAGGAAAAGAATCTCACCACCTGGGCTTGGTTCCACCTACTGTGATTTGGGACCACTTGGACATTTGACACAATTCTGCCACATCTAGTGGCCATCTGAAGTCATGTAAAGTATAATCGTGTCACATCGTTAAAGGGGAGAGCTTGCCTTTTTTAAAGGCCTAATTCTAAGCAAATTGTAAATTTGACTCAAGTATATTTTTGTCAACATGTGGGAATTCCACTTGCAAAAAGATTTAATTAACTAGAAGCACTAAGTAATCCGCTGCCTTAATATGTATCTTATAAAAACTTTGAAATAGGAGAACTGCAATACATTTACAAACTCTGTGTATTAGGAGTTCACTGCGTGACAACGCGCGTAGAGCCATGAAGGAGGAGAGTGAAGCACGCTGTCTTCAACGCCAACCACAGGAAAACAGTCAGTCCTTTGGGTCATTATCCTTCCTCTCACATTCTCAGAGCCACAGATTGGTCTCCCCCTCTTCCTTTATGCCTCCTCTATCCTCCCAAGGCCTCAATGGGGAACTCCACCTGCATGTGGCTACTAAGTCAACACCCACCTTATTGTTTTTAGACCTTTTTGACATGATGAATCTTTTAGTAATCAGTACACACTTATTTAATACATTCTGTGTAAAAACTTGAAAATTGTTTGCAATGATGGAAGATACTTTGGCATTTAACAGTTGAAAGAATAAAGGAAAGGGCATTTGCTCTTGCTTTAAAAATAAAACATTGTTCATAGCATCGATGGACCTGTCCATAAGAGCACATGTTCTAGCTGCTCACTAGCTGTGTGACTTATCTGTAAAATGGGAACAACATTATCTATGAAATCACAGAATTATTGTGATTAAATGACTTAATACTAGACTTAATACTAGTAGAGTGCTTCGGACAGTGTCTGGCATATGTTACATCTCAATAAATGCTAGTGTTATTATTTCACTTAATCTGAGCTGTCTGGTCTAAAGGAAAGAGTCTGGTATTTTGGATTTCAATGGACTTGGGTTTGAATACGAGCATTCCTCTTACTAGCGTGCATTCCTCACACAAGTTACTTATCCCTTTCCCAGCAGCAGTACCAGTTTCTTCCTCTATAAAAGAGGCTAAAACCAACCTCTCAGTTGTGAGAAGTCACTGAGATAATACACCATATGTATTGTTGTGTAAGACCTCTTTTCAGTACTTATTATTTTTTAAACACTCGTCTTTCTGTTCTGCATTTTTCCATGTAGTCCTATCCCTCTTTATAGTTTTTAAACTTGATGATGATAGGAAGTTACAGGGAGACAATATTTTCCAGGCACATTTGGTAAAGAGAAGACCCTGAGATAAAGTGATTGGCAATTCTGAGTTCTTCCCTCTTCTGAAGGTGTGTGCAGTGGGCACACTCACGCCCTGCTTGTGAAGCGATGGTCCCATACCCAGCTCTCATGAACTCACTTTATAGAGTGGAAAAGTCCTTTTTTAAAAGTTTTGCTATAGGTAACTGTGCCTTTAGCACCTCCCGGTGGTGAGATCAGCTCACCGGGGAACATGGAAACAAGGATTGAGTTTGGTGCCTGGAGCAGTTCTCTCAGTCCCACTCACAAACCATCACAGGTGCCGGTCCAGGCCCTTCTCCCATCCCCCAAACTCCCAGGTTCTGAGACTCTCAGAGATGCCGGCAATGATTGCTGTGCCCAACTCTCCAACCTCATATTCCTTGCACCTGGGCGCTAATCATGTTTCCACACTCTGTGAAGCAAGGGGAGCTGAGGCAGTGTACACCCAGTTTACTGAGCTGGAGTTTTACAGCATCCTGCTCTTGGGAAGGGCATTCACATGGAGCAGCAGTAATCCATCAACATCGGAATGGAGCGTCACGGAGTTCATGCAACTCACTTCTTGCAGCTGAAGGAAGGGCAGGGGAGCCACGCTGCTTTGCTGGCCACTCGGCCTGGCTTTGGTCCCCTTCTGTGCTTCCCAGCATTCTGTGTCGTAGTCTGGCGATTTGTCTGTCTTCTATTCAGATTGTACACTCACAAGGACAGAGACCATGTCCCCTGTGTCTGTCCCAGTTCCAGGACAGGGAGTTCCCATAAGTGACAGCAGCTTGCACCTACTGCACCCTGCCTGTGTTCCGGGCCCTGGGCCAGCTGCTTTACATCGCCTTCCCAGCCCTAACAGGACATGCTGCTCTCCTTGAACAAGACCTGCCATAGAGTCACCTTTAGGAAATAGTCACTGAATGAATGGACATACACCCACCCACAGATTAAAAAGTTGAGGCTAGAAATGTAAGTGCCTGGATTTGATCTGAGGTCTGTCTGACTTCAAAGCCAATGCTCTTAACCATTACACAAATCCCTCTGTTTAAGAAAGTATATCTCCTTGGGCTATTTAAAATATGATTGATAAAATACATAAATACCTCCATAATAGTGTGCCAATCAGGGTTTATTTATACCATGATAAAGAGATTATTATCTTTGAATCTTCATTTGACTGCTTTCAAAGATTCAAATTAAGTCACAAATTATAAAAGCATACATTTTAGAAAGTTCTAATGCATAATAATAAATTCCCCTTGTAGCAGTGAGTTATATTCATAAAAATCCTATCTAATAAAGAGGGAATATGCTAATTGACTGTCACGCCCTCACAAAGATGGTGGCACCCACAGCCAATAAAGAGGGAATGTGCTAATTGACCGTCATGCCCTCACAAGATGGCGGTGCCCACAGCCACAAGATGGTGGCGCTCAGTCCCCTCAGCCCCTCCGGGGGGCGGCAGGCACCACACGCCTCATCCAGCCAGAGTCCTCCAGTCCCCTCAGCCCTGCCTCATCCAGTTGCAGTCCCCCAGTCCCCTCAGCCCTGCCTCATCCAGCCTCAGTCCTCCAGTCCCCTCAGCCCCGTCTCATCCAGTCCCCGCAGCATCCAGCCTCATCCAACCTCAGTCCCCCAGTCCCTTCAGTCCCGCCTCATCTAGCTGGAGTCCCCCTGTCCCCTCAGCCCCACAGGAGAAGGCAGTTGGGGGCAATCGGGCTAGCAGGGGAGGGCAGTTGGGGACGATCACGCTGGCAGGGGAGCAGTTAGGGGTCAATCAGGCTGTCAGGGGAGTGGTTAGGGGTCTATCAGGCTGGAATGCAGAGTGGTTAGGGGCAATCAGGCAGGCAGGCAGGCGAGTGGTTAGGAGCCAGCAGTCCCATATTGTGAGAGGGATGTCCGACTGCTGGTTTAGGCCCAATCCTTGGGACATCCTCTGAGGGGTCCCAGATTGGAGAGGGTGCAGGCTGAGCTTAGGGACACCCCCCAATGCACGAATTTTGTGCACCGGGCCTCTAGTGAATAATAAGGCTGAAAGTATAGCAAGCACTATGTGGCAGTAGTTGTGCCAAGTGCTTTATGTACATTCTGTTATTTTATTCTTGCCTGAACCTGTGAAGTAGAGCTTCCTATTATCCATTTTCACAGAGAAAGAGCTGAGACATGAATTTATCACCCAAGATCACATCATTGGTATGTGCTGAGGTATGACTGGACCCTATGTCTGGTCAAGCCAAGAGCAAAGCCAGTTCTTAACATCAGTGTGTTTCTTGCTTCCTGAGAACTGGGAACAGGCCATGCTATCCCATATCACCCTACTGATGTGATGTAGCTCTCAGCTCTAGGGAATGTGTTCACAAGCAGTTTATGGGCTTCCTTGCTAATAAGTAATCTTTGAAGTGCAAATGCAGACAGTCTTAACTGAAAGTCCAGGCAGATCATTTAATTGAATTCAGTTCTGTGTCTTGGTGGGAGGGTTTCAGTCTGGGCAAGGAGTGCTGTGCTTGCCTATGTTCCTTTTCCTTCCCCCACTGCTGAATGTCCTTAGCCTTTCCTCTGATTTTCCCTCCCACAGCTGTCCCCATGCCCTGTGCAAGCAGCTCAGGGTCAAGGTAGAGGTGGCCAATTATCTCAGAAAGGAAGACTTTGGATGGGAGGAGATCTTACTTCAAAGGAGGCCAAGAGGGCATATATCAAAGTGTCCCAGTTTTCTTTTCCTTCTTTGGGATGCTTCTTTAGTATGGTTCTCATGGCAGAAAAAGTTAACTGTCTTTGCTCCTTTAACATGATCACCAACAAACATTTCTGAGGAAAACAGTGGGAAATTCTACATCACTGAAGATTTTGTGCCCCAAGCTGGACCAGCTTGGTCCCTTCCCCCTCACACCTAATCCTGATGATTCCATCTCAGTCTCTGAAAGTTGCCTCCTTCTTTGAGCCCCAATCCCACTGTCTGGCAGATGCTTATGGTCTTATGTGGGTGGTTACTCTAACCTTCAGTTACTGAGCCCTCCTGTCATCCTCCATGCCGCTGCCATCAT